TTTACGAGATATTTTATTTTTTATATCAAAATATGTCAGATTAAGATATAAAATAACTAAAAAAGTACTTAATGAAAAAATACTTTATTATAGTGTTTTGAAAAGCTCTCGAGATAAGCTACAAGAATGTGCAATAAAAAATGGGAGGTTGCATTTAAAATTTTAAAGTTACCCCCGCTCCCTTTAGAAGGGGAGCGGGGGCAATTTTATGTTTACGTAGTTAGAAAGGCCCCTCAAAAACATGAAACTTTCTCATAAACAATTTTTTGATTTGACAAATATTTTTAAAGTTATTAGCTTGTAACACTTTACGTGGGCCACCCTTTATATACATATATATATACAGAATATTAAAAAAAAACCATTCAATATTTATATGGTAGATAGGACACACCATACTGAATATAAAAACCTTAGTAAACATAGGTCGAAAGCTCAATTGTTTCTGAGTATACACATTTTTGTATGTTAGTATCATGATTGATTTATTGGTCTCAGTGTTTATAAACCGCGTTTCTCATTTAATTTCTATACATACTTCATAACAGAAAATTCTATCGGCAATCAGTCAGTTGTCATCAACCGGCGAGTGCGGATCTATAAGAAGAAGATGCCGAGCGTGTACGGAGATGGAAGGAGGACATGTGGAATATCTTCTATAAATATCGAGATAAAGATTTAGACAGATTATCTTCTTCTCACATCGCGTGCAACACATAGAAGTCAGTAAGTCAATTATAATGCTAACATACAAAAATGTTTTATCTCAGAAACGGTTGAGCTTTCGATCTACGTTTACTAAGGCTTTTTTACTCACTTACACGCATAACTTTATATTATGCTGAAAATATTTAATATAAGTGTGGTTCCTCTGTGCGATTCTGAAACTAAATATTTTATGATGGCACCTACAAGTTACATCTTTCTTTCGAAATGCACTTGAAATAAAAGTGAACAAAGGGGAGAAAGGACGAGCAAACGTGATTTTTGCTCGATAAATTCCAGGCAAACATACAATATATGATATCATTTAATAGAGAGAATAAAATAAAAGTATGAATAAACTTTTCTTTTCTATAACATTAAAAGCGTAATGAAAAAATGACATATATATCATATTTTAACTCTCAAGATATTCCCGATATATGCATATTAGAAAAGTGTTTACGTACGCGTATTGGTTGATGAAAATTGATACATGGCCACGCTTTCTTGAGACTGCAGGTGATATAAAAAACTATCGCCTCTGTAAATATTTATTATCAATATATACGGGCAATTGATGTGCTAT